AACTCCACCCCCCCTGTATCCTCCATGTTATCAGCCCAAAGGCTAAACTGAAACCCGGGACCACCCCCCTAAGCCCTAAACCCTAAACCCGAAACCCTAAACCCTAAACCCTAAACACTAAACACTAAGCCCTAAACCCTAAAATCCCAAACCCGGAACCCCGAAGACTAAACTTGGGAATTAGGATTCGGGGGACCCTTGCTCTTGGGGATAAGGTCCCTTTTAAGAGAGCCAGAAGTAGGGTTACGAAGGGGTCCCCTTTAAAGGGGCCCCTTTGAACGGAGCTCTTAATAAGAGCCCTTAAGGGGCCTCCCTAATACTACTAAACCCTAAACACTAAACCCTAAACCCTAAACCCTAATCCTACTTAAGAAAACTGAAGCCCGGCAGAACCCATGAAGCTATCGAGAGGCTTCTATGGCCTGACGCAGGGAGCCCAGAAGATCTTCCTTGCCCTCCACACCTGCAACACTGAAAGGCTTTAAGGTCTAGGGTTTAGGGCTTTAGCTTGAGGGGTTAGGGCGATAAGGGCTTAAGCTTTAGAGCCTAAAACTTTAGGGGTCAGGCCTAGGAGGCATCATGGGGCCTAGCAGGCTTAGCAAGTAGGGCGTCATAAGTAGGGTAACTTGTCCTCCGAGCAAGCGCGGAACGTTCATGTTGTCCATGCAGACTTGCACAAACCCTAAGGGTGGTAGCTGCAATTGCAAGTATTTTTGACCTAACTTCGAACCACAAGGATTCTACATAGGTGACTGAACCCTTCGAGAAATTGAAGTTAGACGACCAGACACGTTTCATTCGCGGTCATTCGGGTTCAGGGTTTATGGCTTTGGGGTTTGGGTCTTTCGGGCTTGTTTCTCACGGGTTGGGGACGCTTTAGGATTTACGACGGTTTAGGCTTTGATCCCGGATCGATGAATGCGCAAGGTATCAGCCCCACTTTCTGCCGACTGTCACGCCCTTGTAGCCCCTGACAAAAATCCCGCCCCTACCTCAAAAGGGATCATATTCGGTATCCTAATCTTAAGGCCTGCGAGAAAGTGAGTTTATTAGCCGGGGTCCCTAAACCCTAAACCCTAAACCCTAAACCCTAAACCCTAAACCCTAAAGACTTCGGGTTGCTTGGCTGCTAGAGTTTGAGGCTGTGTATGGCCGTCCCGAGATTCTGCAGTGTTCCCAGGGTCTGCATGCATTGAAGGCATTATCGCTGAAATCTGACGATCCCTAACTCCTAAACCTCACGATCATGAACCCACGACTAATGTAGGAGCCTTAATAATTTTAATAGGGTTTTGGGCTCCTGTTTAGAAAAAATATACTAAGGAACCCTCAGGAATAATGTAAGTAACTATTTAGGCCTCTATATTAAACATGGAGATAGCTACGCCCCACGACCCCGACACCCTAAAGCCCCACGCCAAAGAACCATAAAGACCTACACACCATACCACCCTAAAGCCCCGACGCCCTCAAGCCCTAGAACACGCGGCCCGGCCGCTGGGTTGGTTCGGCTTCTCCACGTCCGAGAGTGCGATGTTCACCTTAGGTGCCGTGTTCATAAGCCTCGAAATCATAGTTTAAAGGCTTATAGGGTTTGGGGGTGTATTATGTATTCTTTCGGGCACTACAGGCGATTCAAACATCACAACAAAAATGCAAAGTAATGTAGGTGCCTTAATAATTAGAATAGGGATTGGGGGCCCATTATTATACTATGAGTATAACCAAAAATAATGTAGGTAATTCTTTAAGCCCCTACAATATAAATAAGGAACCCCCCGAAAAAATAATGTAGGTAATCCTTTACGCCCCTACGCTATACCCTAAACCCTAAATCCTAAAGGGATCCCTAGACCCTAAACCCCTAAACCCCTAAAACACCCTAAACCACTAAACCCCTAAAGCCCTAAAATCCATAAACCGCTAAACCCTAAACCCTAAAATCCCTAAACCACTATACCCTAAACCCTAAAATCCCTGAACGACTATACCCTAAACCCTAAAATCCCTAAACCACTATACCCAAAACCCTAAAATCCCTAAACCACTATACCCTTAACCCTAAAATCCCTAAACCACTATACCCTAAACCCTAAAATCCCTAAACCACTATACCCTAAACCCTAAAATCCCTAAACCGCTATACCCTAAACCCTAAAATCCCTAAACCACTATACCCTAAACCCTAAAATCCCTAACCCACTATACCCTAAACCCTAAAATCCTTAAAGCCCTAAAAATCCTAAAATCCCTAAACCCTAAAATCCCTAAACCCTAAACCCCTAAACCCTAAAATCCCTAAACCACTATACTCCTTCAGATGCCAGGTCACAGTCCAGGTGGCAGGCCCGCGCGCTCCAAGCCGTGGGGCGATCTGATGGGCAGCATCGGGGTTTGGGTTTAGGTTTAGGTTTAGGGTTTAGGGTTTAGGGTTTAGGGTTTAGGGTTTAGGGTTTAGGGTTTAGGGTTTAGGGTTTAGGGATTTTAGGGATTTTAGGGCTTTAGGGTTTAGGGTTTGCGATCGGGGTTTGGGGGGGCTTTGGGGGGGCTTTGGGGAGGGTTTGCGGAGCTTTCGGGGGTTAGGGGTTTAGTTTAAGATTTAGGGTTTAGGGTTTAGGGTTTCGGGGGGTTGGGGGTTTACTTTAAGATTTAAGGGCTTTTAAGGGTTGCTACAGACAGAGCCTGCATTCGGTTGGAGGATGACTTCTTTCAGGGGCAGAGCTGCAAACAACATGGGTTTGAGTGGATCCCTGGGCCCCAATGTAGGAACCTGAATCATTTGAATAAGGGTTTAGGGTTTAGGGTTTAGGGTAGGGTTTTGGGGTATATTATACTTATACTATAAACGATGATAATATGGAGTTATTTAAGGCCCCTAGGCCCTAAACCTTCAATCCGAAGTCGTACAGTCCTAAATGTCAAAGTCAACCTTCAGTAGAAGTTCCTGTGTATGGACTCTACAATGAATCTGCGTGGATCCGGGTTTAGAAGCTCCGGTTCTGTCAGCCAGCGATGTCTTGGCATCAGGGCTCTGAAAGCGTTATCAGGCGATGTAACTATTACGAAATAGACCCACGCATTGCGTGGGTACGCACACAATACTCACATGGTACATAAGAACACAAGGTGCAAATTACCGAAGAGAAAAACCACCAACAACGGAGTCCTTTGGCTTGGGATAGCATGGTCCTGGTCGGCCAACCACCTGACAAGAACGTGTCCCAGAGAGCCTTTGGGGTTTGAGGGCTTAGTTACGGGTTGAAGCCAAACCATAAACCCCTAAGCCCTAAGGCGGCAAAAAGCACAATCCTAAACCCTTAAAATCCCTACACCCCAAATCTTGAAACCCTACACCCTCACCGTTAAACCGATGAACGCCCCAAAGCCCAATGCCTCAACCCCAAACCTTGAATTCCTGACGCCTCAAATCCCCCCAAATGCGTGGTGGACCGTGAGCTGCCTGTGAGACCGAGTCGGTCGCATCAACGAAAATCACAGCATCGCCTGCAGAAGGAGGTACGGTTGATGACAGCAATCCTGCTTACCCCATTAGAAGGAATATACCATAATTCCCATAGTTTAGGGTCCTTAAGGTAATGCAGGAATTATGTCATCAACCGTATTTCTGTACTCTGCTGTTTTCTTCTTTCTCTACAGTTGTTTGTTATTCACTACCTGGTGCTGCTGTTCTCGCTATTGTCATTGCCATTCCTACCACTAGTAGCATCATTAATATTACTAGTATTCAGCCCTGTAGCTATTGCTATCACTATTGAAGTTGATAGTCAGTACTCATAAGTACCCATGTTCTTTATCACTATTATTGCCACTATTGTTGTTGGTATTCGCATTTCCAGATACTGTTAGCTGTTAGGAGCTATTGCCAGTACTGGTACTATCAGGATTGTAACCATTCTGCTGTTGTTGTTTTGGCTGGTATTAGTGGCACTACTACTACTACTACTACTACTACTGCTGTTGCTGCTGCTGCTGCTGCTACTACTACTACTACTCCTACTGCTACTCCTACTGCTACTGCTACTGCTACTGCTACTGCTACTGCTACTGCTACTGCTACTGCTACTGCTACTGCTACTAGGGTTGATGCCCCAAATCCTGCATGACTTTAAACATCCCCACGATTC